GAAATGAAAGAGCATTCTTTGCTTTCAGGAAATACCTAGTTTCATGGGGTGCAGATCAAAAATAATTTTAAAATTAGAAGAAGTCACATCATGCCATGAGTCATGTAACCTGTTAAGGTTGTAGGGGGCACCAGATGTACTGCGGCCATAGCTGTAGTGATGTGTCTAGAGCAAGATAGACAGATTTTGTATTCAGTTTTTCTTCTCTTGGATCAGTTGTCACCTCGAGGTAAGATAGAACTTTCAGTCTTGCTGTTTAATCCATAACTGGGGGAGAAGAGATGAATTCATAATTTTCCCCCACGGTATTTGTACAAAAGTGAACATAATGAAATTTTTTTTCCAAGTCTCTAACCATTACACTCCCTACATATCCAAGAACTCAGACATTTAAATATTCACAAGAGAAATGCAAATGAAAAAGACATAAATAATAGATTCATCTTCAAGTTGATATTAAAAAAAATAAACAGATTAATTCATGATAGTCACATCACAATTCTTTCAAAATTTTATTTCCCAAGTCTAATCATACATAAATGAATATAAATAAATTCAAAAAATGTAGATTTAACATTTTAAACACATTCACCACTAAGTTAAAAAAGACATTGAACTAAAATAGCCCTCTTTGAATGGAATGGAAACAATTAAATAAATACTCATTTTAAATACTACCTTAATAATCCACTGGAGATATTTTTTGTCATTCTAAATGCCTGACTGGTACCAATCATCAAAACAAATACATACAGTGGGCTATGATAAGTTTTTAGCCACCCTTAATTACAGCAATTTTGGCTTGTGTAATATCTTTTTTTTTTTCAGACAATACCATGTCAGTATCAAGCTACTCTAATCTATGAATGATAGTTGGCTTATATTTTGCAAAGAAAGTTTGCAAAAATAAGGAAATTGGTGAATTTCAACAAGAGCAAATAATAGGATGGCATAAGTGTGGTACATCAAATAGAGAAATTGCTAGGTTTTTCCAAGTTAATCATCAACACTTAATAATATTGTCAAGAAATTTAATGAAGAAGGCCATTGTCCTGTGGAACAACATTCAGCAAGGCCAAAAATCAAGTCTGAGAAAAGGAAAGGGGTGCTGAAGAGGGAAGTTATCAGAAACCGTCTTCAGAGCATCAAAAATGTCACCAACAGCATGGATAGGTCACCATATGCAGTGAGAAAGACCCCAAAAGAGCTAGGCTATCAAATAGGAGTTGCAAGAAAGAAGCCCTTGATTTCATAGGTTAACAGGAACAGGTGTATGGACTGGGCAAGACAATTCAAGAGCAAATGTGAATTTTGGCAGTCTGTAATTTGGTAAAGTAAATTCTGCCAATATTTGAATTTAAAACCAGTTTATGTTTGGAGAAATCAGAATGAGACTTGGAACACTGAATGTTTGCAGGTGACTGTGAAACATGGAGGGATTGGAGTAATGGCGTGGGGAAATCCGGGATTACTCCGACTATTTGAACATAGTCAAATTGACAAGAATGTCTAGTTTTTTCCAGAAGATGGAAGGCCATGTGATACTAGCAAATTAGGAATCAAATCACTGCCATGGTAACCCAAATTCCTAACATGAATCAAATAGAGCATGTTTGGGAGCACCTTGACCGAAAACTTTGAGAGCGCGCAACCAAAATTACGTCAGTAGCAACCCTTAAAGATACATTGCCAAAGGAGTGGCAAAATATGGATCAGACGATTGTTGATAACTTGATCAAATCCATAAAAAATACAAGCCTGAAACTAGCAAATGGTGCACCTATTCCATATTAGTTCCAAATACTGTTTATTTATGTTGAGTTGAGACTACATAATTAAATCTTGAAATTGGATGTAGTTTATTTCTCCTGGCTAAAAAGTTGTCTTAGGCTACTATATAAAAGATCTTTCCATATTTTCAGAGCATGCAAAAATTCAATTACTCTTTAATCAATTTTAGCAAACAGAATTTTAAAAAAATATTGCCAATAAAAATCTATGCTTTTGAAACCTGATTTAACTATAAACATCTTACAAAGGAAATTCTGAAACTTACATGCTTTTAAAAGAAAAAAGGGGCACCTTGACGTGGTGCAATGGTCAAGAAGTTTGTCTAGCTAGAACACAAGTGCTCCATATTTTTGGGCTTGTGCCACATCTAAACTACACTTAGAAAATCACTATGCTTTTAAAGGAAAAACAAAAAAGATGTTATATAACTTGATTGTTTCATAAATGATGAAATTTTTAAAACTATTAATTGATTTGTCCAATAAATGCTCTAAGAAAAACATGCTTTTCCAGAATCAAAGAGATCAGTTCAATAATGAAAAGAAGTCTCATCAATTTACAGTTGAATTGACTAGATATAACTGTAAGTTCTATGCTAGCACTTTCTTGGAACACACACACTTCCTTCAAGTGGAACTCTTCTGGCTTCTTGCTTTCCAGTCAAGTTTGATCTTCAAAAATTTAAATGCAATGTCAGTCATTATTTACTGTCTTCCTGATTACTTTTCTATTGTTCTAGCTTCTCAATAATGCTTTTCTTTTTTAATTCTTTCACACCCAGTAGTTGTTTTACTGCCTTGCATGGGGTGAATTCAATTAAACAAAAAAGAAAGTACATTATACAGATTATTCATTTCTTTTATACACTGTTAAGAAAGAGCTTACCCACAACCTTCATGTATGAGTTACATGCTGCTCAAGTTTCAAAAATAAATTTGAGAGATTAGATTATTTTATGAAGATATGAAAATAAAGATAAAACTGACAAAATGTGTGTACATGCATGGTATTATATGGGTCCAATAGACAAAATTCAAATATAATCTTATTAATTGAAAATTTAATGTATTAATTTTTCGTATTTTCTTTTGATGTGTTGAAGTGATTTATTGGTTGGTTGGTTTTCTTTTTATGAATTATCAACCCTTTATGGATTATTTGAAGCTGAAACTTATTTTAGATTGTAAGAATAATTTTTTTTTTTTTGTTCATTTAACACGTAACTAGGGAGAGGAAATGGACCCATACCATCCCCAAAGGTATTTGCGTGTAAGTGAATATACCAAATTTGACTGGAATTTGAACTTGGCTCTCCAATTTCTCATTCCAAGTCGCTATCTATTACACCACCTGCACATCATAGAGGTATTTATATATCCTGTGATTTTGTTTCAAAGTATTTATTTTTCAATCTCTAAAATCTCATTTTTATTGAAACACCTTGTTCTAGTTAATCCACTTCTAGTAATTTACTAAGTAAAGGGTTGATAAGCTGTAAAAAAAAAAAAAAAAAAAAAAATATGAATCAATAAATATTCATTCAGTAGAAATAAAACAGATATAAATTCAGACAAGATACTCAAGCATAATTATAGAATGAATGAACAATTCTTACAGACTGTACACATATGCATGTAATGGCCACACCAAGTATTAAAAATCATTTGAATATGGAGATAGATGACACATCTACATAAGCTAGAATCCCCATAGACATAGTTGAAAATACTTAATTACTAACATTCAGGCAATATCTGCACTTTACAAGCAATATAATAGGCAAATAAAGAGAAAGGAAAAATTTTTTAAAATATCACAAAAGCAGGTAAAATATCACAAAGCAGGTAAAACGAAAAAGAAAAGCAAAATACAAAAAACTTCTAACTGGTTGTCATTCTTCACTGTTCAGAATTTTAATCAAGGAATAAAATGGGTATGCACAACAACTGAAGAGTGAAGATTGACAACTGGTTTGCTGTATTTTGTTCTATTGACCTTTTTGCTTTGTTTCTCTGTTGTATAGCTTTTAATATTCCATTTTACTGCAAGAATAACAATCTGTAACCACCCAAAAATATTTAAATATCTACTCATTGAGCCCAAACAATTTTTCTTGTTTGCATACAAGACTGATTAGTAAATTATTAAAATCTAATTTTTAAAAAATAGTTGTTGTTATAATAATAATAATAACCCCCCAAAAAAAAAAAAAAAAAAAAAAAAAACAAGTGTTCACAGGCTTAATGTACATCATGTTCTGTCATTGTTGTGGAAGTTTATTATTCTCTGCCTTGGAAAAAATAAATTCAAGCAAAAGAATACATGGAGTATGAGTAAATTATATACATATATACATACACAAAACCACTAGTAACTTTGCTAAGGCAACAGGGAGAGAGAGAATGGTGAAATTAGAAGCAAAACAGACATTGGTGATAGCTGTCATTGTCGACATGAAATGCTGGTCTGTGTTGCATCTCGCTCAGCTTGCAGTGTCCATATTGAATGCTGGTCTGTTTTGGGTTTTTTTGTTTGTTTTTTTTTTTTTTTTAATTAGAGAATATATAGGTGTCAATCAGCTCTGAATTAAGATTTTGGTATTTTGGAGTGGGAGTGGCTCTGACTGGTCAATAAATTGTTCGTCTTATTTTGGTTAAAGTGGATGTATGCATTTACGCATTCTGCTTTGGGGCATCAAGTGGTCAACATCTGGTTTGTGTAGAAAAATGCAAGAGGCATCCACATCATGATAGTATAGATTCAGTTGAAATAAAATCCATTTTTCTGATGATGCTGTTTGATCAGCAAAATGTCAACAAAAAAATTATTCCAAATTGACATACTTACCATACAAGAGAGGCAGTAAATTCTAAAATCCTTGCCTGTCAATCTTAATGAAACTGTTGCATTAACACACACACAGAGCAGCAACTATAGATGGAGCGAAAGGTATTAATTGATTGGCTTTTTTCTTTTACAGCTTACCAACCTTTTAAAGCCAAAACATATTTTGGGATTGTTAGAATTTTTTGAGATAAGGATCTGATACAAGTCCTATTATTTAACCCATAGCTGGAGAGAGGAGGTGGCTTCATACCTTTCCCCAAGTTTATTTGTGCCTAAGTGATAACAAACCTGATTGGAATTCAAACTTGGCTTTTGATTTCTCATTCTGAGCCATTATCTATTACACTACCTGCACATCCATGCTTACAGTACCTAGTATTCCAGAGTGGTCACCAATCTAGGTACTGACCAGGCTTAACGATGCTTAACTTTGGTGAGTGAATGAGAACTGGTGTTTCAACACATGGTTGTAAACCCTCAAAAAGTATTAGCATTATAATCTTGCATGTTCGTCATTCTTTAGTTCAGTAGTTAACACATACACTATGCCCACCAATACCTCCTAAATAATGAACTTTTGATTGTGAAGCAAGATGGGAAAGACATAATCAGAAATATTGTTTAGTTTCATTGAAAGAAAAAAGAAAAAAAAAGAAAGAAAGAGAGAGAGAGAGAGAGAGAGAAAAGATAGAGTTGTTATGCTCAGATATTTAATGATGCAACCAACTAGAGGGTGGATTCCAAGAAGAATCTTATAGTTGTAGAACTCAGAGCTCATTCAATCATTAACTTAAGAATTATGATTAATCAGAAAATTCAAATAACAAAACCATGAACTTTTCATGGGTATTTTTAATACAAATAAATTTAAAAACATGCATTTACAAAAGGATAGTATTCAACAAATAACAGGTTTTGATTTGATCCTCATAGACCTTTGTAATAAAATTCAGCCCTGTACTAATCATAGAAATTTCAAACTAAACCTTAGCATCTTATTAATTCATCCTTTTTTTGTTTAAGTATAATTGATATGGTTATCATTTTTTGGCACTATATGACAAAAAGGTATAGTATTAATATTTTATGAGGGCATATCGAAAGTAGTCTAAATTTTTTTTGTTTTTTTTACAAACCTTTATTTCATATACTTATGTAAATACTATCTATGACTCATGAATGCAGCTGTCATATAGCTGAACATTGAAAATATTATCAGACTATCTACTGCTCCTGAGACTCAAGTCAAAATTAGCATCATCCTTCAAGGAAATGAAATTTTATTTTCCATCAAATAAATAAATTTGGGTTTAACAAGCAGCATAGAAAGTAATTGTAATTAGTTAATAAAATATGTAAAATCTCAATTTTTACTTTATTTGCTTCTTAAGGCTTAACTCTTTGCAGGTTATTTAAAGCCAGAAAATATTTTAGATTGTAAGAAATATTTTTTTGAGAATGGTTTTGATATGAGTTTTACTAATTACCCATGGTGGGGAGAAGTGAATTCAAACTTTCCAAGGGCATTTGTGTATAAGTGAATATAACAATTCCAGTGGAAATTGGAACTCTGCTCTCCAATTAACAATTCTCAGCCATTATCCATTACACCACCTGCACATCCAAATTTAAAGCACCTGATATTCCCAAGCAGTGACCAGGCTTGATGATGCTTAACTTTGGTAATCATATGGGAACTGATGAAAATACCAATTATCCAAGTAGAATCACTACATATGTGACATAATGGGACTCAGCCATTATTAGAGCACCCATGAAATCAAATGGATAGTCAATGATTTTAGTTGAGTCTAATGTTTTATGACTGTCGAGAGAAATGAAAGCTTCAAAGCAGCTGTCCACAAACTGAAGAAGAGTAAATAAATTAAAGCTTTCAGGATCATGTGCCACTTGGCTAGAACTCAAGGAGTTCCAGCTGTACGTTTACATAAGCCAGTCATGGAATTGTCAGTACCAAGCTTCTGGTAGACGGTGGTGAGATGCTGATTAGTTCTGAGCTATCCATTAGTAGAGAGGCAGAGTTGGAAATGTTATGTGTGGTGATGATCAGAGGAGTGGTATGTGAAAGTCAACAGTCATGAGAAAGTGAGAGAGATGGTTAAAGCAAGAGTCAGAGTACTTGTTGGCTGAAGATCTGGTCCATTAATCTGTTCTAAGACAGAAGTAGCAGTGAAGATATCCCAAATATCACCTACTACTCTCCAGACAATGTCAAGTGAATCTATGAATAACCAACTCAATATATTGTAACAGGATTTATATCTTCATTTCTTGTTACAGCATTTTCATCTTTCCTTCCCTTGTGAATATATACTTAGCCTTTGCCAGTTTTGGTATATGATAATTTATCTAGTCATTAAAAAACAGAGAGGGCCCCAATTGTACATATTCTTTGATGTCCAATATACAACTTGATCAAAGTGTATACAGGAGTTCAATGAAAAGTCTACATGTTGAAATAGACACACTTATAACATTACTTGCAACAATTTAACTCGGAAAAATATTTTGGTGATGCTTAACACTTTCATGAGACTTTTATTTAGTATAAAATGATAGGAGAGAGAGATAGGGTAGAATCATCCAAATGCTTGAGAGCAAGGTAGAGGGTTAATGTGCAAAGGGTAATGATGAATTAAATGCATGATATAAAAGAAAGAGGGAGAACAAAGTGAATTTTATAAAGGAGGATAGGTAATAATTGATCCTTGACTATGGTTACTTAATACTACTTTTATTATACCAATAAAACCTTCCAACATAATTTTTAGCCATTTCATCCTGAATGTTTACGCACACACACCCACAAGCATCAGCAACACAGATACTATTAGTTTATTTTAGGGCTCTGATATTCTCACATTTGGAAGTTGAAAGAAAAAAACCAAAAACAAAACAAAAATCATTTTTTAAAATTTAATTTATAAAAAACAGAAGACATTTTACTGAATGTTTTTATGCATTTACAATTTCACAAAATGTGGCATGTTCATATAAAACAAGTGTTTTTTTTTTTTTTAGGCTAGGCAAGGAATATAACAATTATAAGTATTTCCAAATGTAGAAGTACATTTTAAATTCTGGGTAGAAACAAAAACAATGGATACTTGATTAAGGGCTGTATGTAAAGTGAACACTTGTTAAAATTTGTAAAATGTGTCAAAATCTTAAAGGAAGTTGAATGTTGTAGACTGTCTTTTAAAACACTATCACTGCTGAAGATTATTAAATAAAATGGTATCTTTTACTCAGATACAATAAGAGAGCTTAATTAAATTAACATTAAATCCCAGTTTTAACTTTCAGTTCAAAATTGAAACTTAATGGAAGTTTAATAAATCCTAAATAGGCGAAAATAATTTACTTGTGGCAGTCAGAAGGTCAACAGTTTTTACAGAGGAAATTGATTTAGTTACATATTTTTTGGAGGATCTTCAAGTTCAAAAGTCATTGTACTTATCAAGTTATACATTAAAAGATTTCCAGCAGAAATGTTAAAATAGTGGATTAAAAGGAAAAAAATGAAATTAGTTGAAGTTCTCTAAAGCAACATTGGATTTCAACAGAAGGTTTTGTTTGTCAGAAAAAGAAAGTTCGTCTAAAGAGCTAATCACATTTTCAACAAGTGATTTTCTTCCCATGCTTTTACGATTTGATCGACGCACAGGTGTGACAATCACAGCAGACTCATCATGGTTGTTACCCCTATAAAAAAAAAAATAAAAAAAAATAAAAAAAAAATATAAATAATAATAATAATAATAATAATAATAATAATACATGAACAAAAATATTCTAATGTCTAATAAACAGTATAGACCTAGTTACACTACAAAGCTGCCCTCATGAGTGTATTGCATGTTATATATATATATATATATAAAAAACAAACTTGTTAAGAAATTTGTATTTAAACAATTATGATAGAGAGAACAAGATATTAAACTGAATATATCTTTCTACCTTTCCATGTAGCTTGGTTTGGTTAATAGGGTATCAATTCCTTATGAATCATTTAATGCCAAAATTTTATTTTCTTGTGGCCTTTGGTAATTTTTGCATTACTGGTAAATGTATTTCTAGTAAATTTCTTTTTCTTTTTACAATGGCAACTGACAGATGAAGTATTCAACAAGATTTAATGACTTAAAGTACACAAATCTTACCTCTTTTTGAATGGAGTCGTTTTTTTAACTGAATATTTTATAGAAGATGACTCAGGGAGTCTCATCATTCCTGGAGTTACTGGAGGCACAGGTGTTTTGTACTCAATATCATCAACATCATAGTCAAAGATACTATCCATAAATGCTGGAGATTGAGATGGACTGTAAAGAGAGCCATCATCACTCATTTCGTCCAAATCAACTAATTCATTTTCTGAAACCGGCATCTCTTCCACAGTGCATATTTCATCTTTTTTAGTTTCATTAGAAGATGACATAACATCCTTTATCATCTGTGGCATTGAATCAGCAATTGTATTGATGGGCTGTGGAAAAAAACAAAAAAATAACTTAAATGTTATCTAACAAACAACAAAAAATGTAAAAAAAAAAAAAAAAAAAAAATATACAAAAACAAAAAACAAGCATGATTACGAGTTCATTTTATTATTAGCAATTCATTTATATAGAGATATCACAGTAAAACTGTAAGCATGCATTGAAAAATAATTTCAGACTTAGTGTGAACATACACCAAAAAGTTTTTCACCGACTGGTCAACTTCTGCCTCACACTAACTGTGGTTAGATTCCCATTTGCATCAATGTGAAAAAAAAACTGAGAAATGCCTGGCGTACATTTAACAAAGAAAGTAAAGGTCAGAAATTGCATACTGATAAAGAATATTGCACTGGTGAAAAAAAAGATAAACAGGGTTCTTTTTCATAGATTCACTTGGCACTGTCTTGGGATTTGTAAGTGACACTTAGGACATCTTTGCTGCTACTGTCTTCTCTTGCGACAGACCAAATCTTCCCTTCAGCCTGTGGAACTTGACATTCCGCTTACTCAACCATAACTCTTCCTAACATCTGGAATGTAGCCTAACTATATAAGCCCATGACCAGAATACCCTACCTTCCAGCTGAGTGGCACCTGAAAATTTTTATTTCCTTTTACCTACTTATAGGACAGCAGGTGGTCGCTTTGAAACTTTCACATCATAATTTTACTGGCAATACAAATGATAGTCATAAAACTAGCAATTCCAACACCAGGTTTACAGTCCATTTGACTATGCAAGTGTTCTAACCAATCAAGCAAAGGATTCATTGTGTCATATCAAACATTTGTATCTGCCAGGGCTTAACTGAAAAATCTATTAAATGCAATGTGACTATTGTTCCTGCAAACTGACCTCATTCCTTAGCAACAGAATATTCCATTGTCATTATAACAAGAGATATTACTGAAAGCAAAAATGCCTCATATTACAATAACAATGGCTTATCTTATTACTAAATAGGGGAATTGGGTTGCTAAAATAGCTGTTTTTGTTTTCTTTTGACAGTTTTACATTTAATAGTTTTTTTTTGGGGGGGGGGTCTCAATATATGCAATGTTTTTTTTTTGTATAGATTAAAAAAAAAAAAAAAAAACACAAACAAAAAAACTTATGTACTCAAGCAGAAAATATAATTAATACAAAGTTATTTAAATAAGGTAGACAAAATAGTGATGATTTAAAAAAAAAAAAAAAAAAAAAAATTTTTTTTAAGTGTTTCACCCCAAGCGAGGCGGGAAGCCACTAGGACGCAAGGGGTTACAGAAAATTTGGAGCAAGATCAGATAGGAATGATAGAAGAAAGGATGAGGGTAGTGGATAGATCAAGGCAACTGGAGATGTCGATTGACATTACATTTGAATAGCTGGAGATTATAGCTCTCAGGGAAATTGGAATAGGGAAGGGAGTTCCACAGGCGAGAGGTGCGAGACATGAAGCTATCGGAGTAGAAGAGATGGCTACATTTAGGAGTTTCAAAAGTGAAGGGGTGAGAGTGGGATGCCAGCCCCGTTATATTTTGCTTTCATAACTCTAGCCTGTAGTTAGCATAAAACTGAGAAATACTTAGCATCTAAACACCGATGTGACTGACAAACATAGCACCGGTGAAATAAACAGATTTAAAGAAGGTTAAAACTAATTACTATTATTATTTTGCGCATTTGTTAATATATACTATATTCAACTAAAAATAATCAATTTGAAACTAAATGGCATTTCCTTCATTTCTTATATTACTAAATAAAAAGCTAATTCTAAATCTTGAGATCGATTGGATTTATGACCATACCCACTCCCTATTTTTTTTTTAAAATGATGTCTTTCAGAATTTAAATGATCATAGTTCTTCAGATGCCTCATTGGGAAAAAGAGAGATATGGTTTTCCATTTCCTTCTCCAGTTTTGAATTCAGAGTAATTATCCTAGCCTAGTTAGTCTTGCTGTTTTAACTCACAGCTGGGTGAGTAGAGATGACTTAATGAATTTCCCAAAAGAATTAGTGCGAGGTGAATGCAACAGACTAGGCCAGAGTTTGAACTCTGATGGTCTATTTCATGTCAATAAAGGTTAAGCTGCTTGAGCATCTCTCCAAATTAGAGTATTTATTCTTTACACATATTTGATAAATAACTAGTGTAACTGAAGCTATAATGGATGAATCCATTTTCCTTTTCAACTTGGTAATAACTGCTTCATTTATTTTCCATGTTTTATTTACCAACATTTGCTATATTTAATTTGAAAGCTGCTGAAACAATTCAAAGAAAATAAGAAAATTTACACCTTTGTCACCCACCTGTTATTAACAGAAAAGCTTAATAGGTTTGACCAAGTATAAAACTAGATGTATAATTAACATAGGCAGTGATTATCTCTTGATATTAGCTTCAAATAAAGCTTCAAAAAAGCATTAAATAAGATTTTATAAAGATTTAGGTACCTCCAAAAATTTGCAAAAAAAAAAAAAAAAAAAAAAAAAAAAGAAAGAAAGAAAGAAAGAAGGTACATCACGATGAAAAAAGTCCCAAATTTGATAAAAATAGTTTCATTGTTAATGTTTGGTATTATTAAGAGGAAATTAGCCAGTTTAGTAAAAAAAAAAAAAAAAAAAAAAAAAAAACTTTCCAGTCAATAGTTATGAAATACAGCAAAATATTTTGCTGATTGGAAATATTAAATTTAATGTATTAGCTTGAATTTAAAACTTGAATAAACAAAAGCTTCAAGAAAGATTTTTTCATTTTGAAAAATTCATATTAAACCTTAGGTATCACATTCTCTGTGGTGGTACCTAATATATAGATTATTAGATTATTCAAAGTTTTCAAAAAACAGTGCTTACTGTAGCTCTATGCTTCATTGCATTGCTGAATACTTCCAGTAGACTATCTATGTCTTTGTCAATTGCATGAACACGAGCTTTCAGCAACCAAAACTCTGCAGAATTCATCACTGCTGGTAAACGATCCTGTATTTCTTTCAGCCAATTTAAGATGTTACTTGAAGGGCAACCCTGCATGTAATAAATTTTCATATAAGTAAAAAAAAAAAAAAAAAAAAAAGTGCATATGTAAGTTCATTTACACAAACAAAAAACAAATGCAAGCAAAGTAAATTCCTATTAGATATACAATTAACAATCAGAAGGGTGGCCTTAGCAGCAAAAAAGCTAATTTGCGGAAGAAAATAGAATTTTTTTTCCCCAATGTTGAAGATGATTATGCTTTGGTTTATTTTGGTTTTATGGCATATCAACCTCAATGTGTTATTTAATGCCAACAAAATTTTTATTGTTGGTAATTTTTTTTTTTTTAAAATCTATTTCTGGTAATAATTTTCTTTCAAATATGTATCACTGGTAATATTTTTTCAAAAAAATGTATAGCTGGTAATATATATTTTTCTTTTCAAAAATATATTGCTGGTAATATTTGTTTTTCAAAAATGCATTGCTGGCAACAATTTTTTTTAAGTATTTCTGGTATTAAAATCTATTTTTACACTTTCATAGTGTTTTGACCCCAGTTACAATTCCATTGAATAAGGTTTTGCATCTTGATTATGTATTACGAATTATGAATTTTTACATGTCCAATTTTTTTTTTTTTTTTTAGATAGGTGAAGTGTCCATCATTTCTATACACTTCAGACTATTAGCGTCTTGTTTCTACTTTCTCGTTTGATTTTGCTCCCTTAGATTTACCATTTGGCTCTTTTAATGAACTTTGTCTAGATGATGATCTTTCCCTTGTTTGTGATGGGCTAGAGATTTGTTCCTCTATGTGCATTTTCCTTGGTTCTTCAATAACCATTTCGTTATTTTTTTTTTTTTTTTTGTATCTTTTCATTCTCTTGGGAATGTTTCAAGGTTTTTATTTCTTGAATAATTTTTTTTTCGTTTTGATTTTTCAGGTTTAATAGTTTTGTAGATGTAGAGTCATTTTTGCTTGCGGTTGATGGTATAGAGTTTGTTTATCCATTAGGTTCTTTTAATGATCTTTGTATAGATGATGACCGTTCCCTTGTTTGTGATGGGCTAAAGTTTTGTTCCTCTAAGTCCATTTCTCTTGATTCTTCACTAATAGTTAAGTTATTTTTTTATGTACCTTTGATTCCCTTGAGAATATTTAGAGGTTTCTATTTCTTGGATTTTTGTACTTTGGTTTGGAATTTCCTGATTTAATTGTTTTGTACATGTAGAGACATTTTTGTTTGAGGTTGACGGGACAGGATACTTTTTGTCTATGGGCATTTGATTTATGAGTAATATATTACATTTTAGAAGTTCTATTAAACTTTATAATTCATTAATAAGAGTTATAAGATCTTGGCTTCTTAATGCATTCTTTTCTTATATGTCTTTTTGTTGATTTGATATTTTAGTGATATTTGCATATGATGCTTGAAGTGAATTAGATTCAACCTGTTTTCTGGCTTCTTGGAATGAGATATTTTGCATGTATTTTTTTTCTAATTATTTCCTTTTTCCAAATGTTACTCTCTTTGGAGTCTGCTGAATGTTTTTCTTTACAGCTTAGACATAAAGGAGGCCTTTCACAAGGTGATTCATTATGCTCAGTTTCCAGTTCCCCACATATTCAATAGACCGATGTTCTCGTACAAACATTTTGAAAATTACCAAATTTTTGACATTTATGACATCTACGGGGATTAGGAATGTGTGACTACCTTGGCTATTGTGTAACCTATCTTTATTTCTTTTGATAGAGTTGGTTTGTTGAATGTCAAAATATGTGTGTTGGTGTTTATTACTGTGTCATTTCTTTTTACTTGTATTCTTTTCACATCTGTTACTCCTTGATTTTTTTAGGGTGTCATCATTTTCAATTTCTTCTGATGAATAAAATGACAGTTCTGGGAATTTTATTACTCCTTTTGATGAATTAAGAAATTGATGGAGGTAGGCCTTAACTTTATTGTTGTCAAAATGCTTGATTTTTAACAATTTCTCTGCCTCTTTTTTGAATATCACTTGAATTAATAGAGTATTATTTTTCTTTACTTTTTAACAGATTGTAGTTTGATCATGTCTGAAATAACTCTTTGCAACACGAAAAGGAGACACTTTTGATATATCACCCTCTACTGATTCTACAATAATGAAAGTTGGAAATTCATTTTTTTCTATTTCATTTTTGATTTCAGAAGTCTCATATTGTCGCTTGGTTCGCTTATAAGAGAGAGCCATATAATTTTAATTTTTGTATTTGCTGTCTGTGCTCCCCACCCAACCCAGAGTTCCTTCTTAAGGGATGCTATCGGGGTGGACTAATCCCATTCGCCCTAATCCGCCAAGGCTACACAGACAGTATAGATGTGATGAGAGTGGATACGAGCACCTCTGCACTCCCCCACCATATCTACCCAAGTATAGCATCATGTTGAAATGACGGGTCGCGGGCCAGATGAAGGCCATTAATGAAAAAATTAAGGAAAATTACATATGCAAACCCCTGTCAACCTAAATATTTAAAACCATAATGAAAAATAAACATTGAGAAATCAGGAAAACAAAAGAAAATCTAAAATTAAAAAACACCTAACAAAAATTACTTTTCCTCAAGGAACGTCAAAATACTTCAAAGTGAAAAAAAATCAACCAAAGTGAAATGGATGAAATTATGATGTGTAGGTTTGAAACTGTTATTGAAAATTGTTCCACAAACAAACCACACACACAAAAACGAAGCACATATAGCCATACATATGAGTACAAATAGTTGCAAACATATACACTTACGTACGTACACATGCGGTATCATCCACACATTCATGAGGCATGTATGTATAATGCGTGTATGTTTAACTGTCTTTAGATTTCTGCTACCTCGCATGTCAGTCCCTCCCTGGCTTCTTTCACTTTATCGTTCCTTTTGCTTCTGTTATCTTTTAATGTAGCCAAGGGTCATAACAAATATGTATCCATTATTTGACATTAAACATAGGCAACGCAACTTGGTAAAATAAGTCTCATGAAAGATAACAGGCAGTCTAATATTTTTAGTGCACTGAGATGTGTAGACATTCTATGGAAAATGACATAACAAATTTCATTTGAAGGTCGATGATGTAGTTAAATTGAGAAGTGTTGACAGATCTGCATATTCACATTTAATCACAAGTGTTGAATATACATAAAAATAATTTATATTAACAAGAGATGAATGTAGTAGTCAAAAAATATTATTTATACAATTGAAAATATTGGTGGAATCATTTGGTTATAAATACATAGCATCGGCGTTAAGCTATCACCAACAGCCAAAGAATTAATGGCACACTTGGTGATTTTTATTAATTGAGAGTGTCTCAATATTTGGTTTCAAACTTGTTGATGCTAAGAGCAAGATATCATCAAGATGGTTATCAGTCAATCTTGTTCTCAAATTGTTCTTAGTTTTATTCAATTTTGAAAAAAGTTGTTCACATTGATAAGTACTTCCAAACAAAGATGCCATCTTTTTTGAATGGGTCACTAATTTGAAATACTTTCCACTTGGAAAAATATCCCATTCGCCCTAATCCGCCAAGGCTACACAGACAGTATAGTTGTGATGAGAGTGGATACGAGCACCCCTGCACTACCCCACCATATCTACCCAAGTATAGCATGATGTAAGCCTTACATCATACGACATTGTAAGGTTTCGTGGCCCTGTCTGACCCATTATCTATCATCCCAACTAGCCCTTGCCACTATGTGACTAGTCAAATGGAATGGATTGGGCTATTCCATCCACCCATCTATCCCAGGTAGGGACTGAAATGACGTGTTGTGGAAACTTCTGGTCATTTTACACCAGGACTCTGTCCCCAGGCATCACAGGTCGCCACCTATAGCAAACGGGTAGCCCCATTTAGGGGAAATTTTAGATTTTTGAAATCGGGTTTTGCGAATGTGCACTTTGTATACTGCAATTTGTGTTGATGGTATTATAACAAAAAACCCATTCTTACATTTTCCTAGTATTCCAACTCCAGATCAAGAGAGAGGGGAAACTATTTACCCATAGCTGGCACCCCTAACAAGGTGGACCCGGGAACAACAGCAACTAAGAGGCTGTTCCACCTACTGATCAGAGGCCTTGCTGCAGGATGCAGTTTATTGTCATACCCAGGACAAGAAGATGATTATGCATCATATATAAAAAGAACAAGTTATGTTATGATTACTGAAATAAAATTGAATCAATATGTAAACAAAAATAATTGTTTATAATTGAAAGAAGTCATTAATGATCCAAATTTTGTTCATATAACTGAATTTATTTGTTTTTATGTTAGCCAGAAGGTGGCATTTTACATTATGGTTTTCACTAGTAAAATCATACTTTGTGATCTCCTTACAAGAGCTGGTCCTTCATGGAAGAAGGGTTTGATAAAAGATTGCATTTATAAATTCCCATGCAAATGTGAAAAAAAAGCATCTGTTAATTATAGGAAAGACCCCTTTATAATTTCCATCAGCATGGCTGATGCTAACTTACATGAGAGTGACTTGTTGCACCTTCTTGGGTTAATATTCTCAGCTGACATGAAGTGGAAAGACTATATTGAATCGCTGCTAAGAAAAGTTAGTTCATTGTGTCATGCTAGACAATTTTTCTAGCCTGAATCTATCTTATATATCTATAAATCTAGCATTCGTCCAAGCCTGAAATATTGCTGCTACATATGGTCTGTTGCTGCTGCTATATATTCAGAGATTTTTGATAAAATCCAAAGATGAATTAACAATATTACTGATCTTGAACTGGTGTCTTCGCTTCAGTCACTTTCCCATTTGTACCTTTTCTACAAATACTTTCATGGTAATTATTTGAATGAGCTCTTTGCAATGGTACCGAGACTTTATGAGTTTAAGTGCAGTAGTAGATTAGCAACAAGGTTCTATCAATTTACAGTTGAATTAGCTCGATGTAACTGTAAGTTCTATGCTAACAGTTTCTTTGCTTGCACTTCCTGCTTGAGGAACTCTTCAGGCTTCTTGCTTTCCAGTAAAGTTTGATCTTAAAATTTTTTAAATGCAATGTCAATTGTTATATTCTATCAACCTGATTACTCTTCTATTGTTCTTTCTCCTCAATAATACTTCTGTTTTCTAACTCTTTCATATCCAGTAACCGCTTGTGTTTTAATGGCTTTACTGCCTTGTTTGGGGTGATTTTAATTGAAAAAAAAAAAAAAAAAAAAAAAAAACTAAGAGGAATCAAGTTATCCTCTTAAAGACAGCTTTAAGTCATTTTCTTCTGGTCTCCTGGTTAGTGCTTACATTGCTTGGGTCTTGCCTTAAAGTGTGGATGATGAGACTCCATCTTTGCGTTACTTGAACACTATGAACACTAAGGGGTTCTACAGAGGCATTCTGTCATTTTTACATGGTCTTGCTATCTGATCTTGAGGATCCTTAAGCTGTTGTTAAGAAATAAATCAATAAGCTTTGATTCATCTTCCAGGTCTTGCAATCTTATGTTCTTTTATGCATTATGCATAATTAACAAGCAACATCACTGAAGGGTGAGAAAGTCAAAGAAGGCAGCAAATATTAATTTGTTAGCCAGATAAATAAGTTGGGACAATACAGATTTTGACAACAATTGCTTAACAAAGAAGGTATTGAGAAACTCCCCTATATTTAAACTGACTTGTTTAAATAAAGCCATTACTGACACCTATCTGCGTATCAATGCTTAAATGAACCGATCCAATTGATGTAGTAGCAAATATTTCCGTTACCATTTTGTAAAGAAACAGGTTTTCTTATCTTTTCTTACACATTATACACCTGACAGATGGATAAATGAAACATCCTATAATAACATCAAGAACATTGAAAAAATTTGGAATTAAGAATTTACATATTAGATAAAAATTAACACCTCTTTGTACTTGATATGTACTGGAAGATCCATGGCTATTGACATTTAGTTATTAAGAGCAGTGTGACCAGTGAACTTCACATTAGAAAAGGAGTTTTTAGTGAAGATAATGATCAGCAAATCAATATGGCAAATCGTTAGCTAGCATCTATGCAACCAGAAACAGACTTTTGACTTGTGCTTAGTACATGACCAAAACAACAATAATCACCAGAAGATTATTTTTTAAAATTTAAAATAGAAAAAATGTTTATTTATAGAATTTTAAAACAGAAAGTTTTTAAGGATAATGTGAATAATCATCAAAATATTTTGTTTTTCTTTAATATCAAAGCTGTCAACTTATGTGGATTGAATAATGGGTTCAATTCAAAATTCCAGAAATATTACTGAATACAACAGGTATCTGTTGTATTCAGTAATATTTCTGGAATAATCCTGGAGAATACAACAGTTAAGATTTAACTAAACAATCAAGATTAGGATACTAGTTTGAATAAACCAGTGTATAATAATGCTTATGTTAAGATTAAAAATTTCAAAAACTTACAGCATCTAACAAAATAGAACATTCTTGAATGACAGGATCCATCTGCTCAGACTCGTTAAGTTCTTGAAGTGTTTCTTTAGGTATTTCCATTTTTGGAAAGAGATGTTCATCTTTTTTAACTTCACAATTTTCAAGGTTTTCCTGATCACATTCTGCAACTTTATGCTTCTCATCATCAAGTTTTTTCTTCTACAAAATACATAAACAACAACAGACTGTGTGTGCAGTATAGTGGTTATCAGCATGAAAAGTGGAATTAGCATGCAGAGTTCAAATTACATCAAAGTTCATTGCATTCACTTTCATATTAAAACCCTTAGGAAAGGTACAATTCTGTTTCTTCACCCCCCAGCTATGGGATAAACAGCAAAAGCAGACTGGGCCCTCTATACTTGGTTGGCAACCAATCTCAGAGAAGGAAAAAAATAAAAAATAAATTAAAAACCAACTAGGTGTAGGCCTGGGAACACCAGTCCATAAAAACCTACTTGCAACAAAAATTACAGCAGCAACACCTAATGTGGTGAAGCTTCATAGAAGTATCAAAGGAAGTTTGATGATAATTTATAATGATGAGTGCCAATAATTTCTGTGTATCAGAGAATTCAGATGATAAATAATAGAAACTCAATAATAGATGAAACATGCATATGGTCCAGAAGCTGAAAATTTTTTATATGCTGTAGTCAGTATATGAAAGGCTCTTAGCATGAATTCTTTAAACTGTGGCATTTACTTGCATTTCATAAAATACAGTAGTCAATAAGCAAAAAAGCAACAAAATGCACTATCATAGGTACTATTTCCAGAAGAGAAAAGCAGTTATTGCTTACCTGCATCATTATTTCTTCTTTAGTCAATGTTCTTTTACATCGGGGACCATCATGGTCAGGGGCCTGCTTGCAGAAGCATAAGCTGTGTCTGTTGGTAACTGGAGCTTTGCCTCTCTTGCGTAGCCATTCATTCATTTTCTCTCTGAAATCATAAAAAATCCTTTTCAATAAGAAACTGTTACAAAAACAGGAAAATTATCATTTAAGACATTTACATCCTTAATTTACTTAATAAAAAATAAAATACTAGTTTTTTTGGTCTTTTTAAACTGAGTATTTCAATATGCTTAAGATTTTTTAAAAAATCCATTCCTATCTGGAATAAAAGGAAAGGTTTCTTTTAAAAAATCTAAAGCAGTTTTTGTTATTAATTTTTGATTATGCATAAAAACATATTGAAGTTTATTCTCAAAACAAGACAAAGTATTTAATTCAGAAAGTATTTTTTTATCCAAACTTACTGCCCATTCATTAATACAAAATTTGGCATGCAGAAGTAAATAGATTACTGACTCTTTCTATATCTGCAAGCTGTGTGAAATGCCCCATACATGCAAAAGTGGATATATTGGGTTTTATACATACAAGTAGATATCTCATACTCCAATGTTTATAACCAACAAGATATATTCATGCAGAAACTGCATTTTAAATTCTGACTGGAAATAGACATTAGTTGTTTTCAGAAATTATTTTCTGTTAAAAAAGGATTTTTCTATAATTTTGATGAGAGTCATGAACATATTTAACATTGTTTGGGTGGTTGAAATCTCTTCTTTGTATCACCTGCTGTTGATACAATTTTTTTGAATAATCCAGTTTTCAACCCTTGACAAAAGTGATTTGTCAGAAAAAGAAAAACTGTCACAAAAACAGAGTAATTTGTTAATGACAAAGTGGGAAAAATTCTGTGTGATGCATTCTGCCTTTAAGACTTCAGACTAGAGCAACATTTTTGCTGATGGAATTCCATATATGTAGGAAGAGAAGTGGGAGTACAAGAATGCAAACATTGCTTATAATTATGCATAGACAGAAAGCACTGAAAATGAAAAGAAAAAAAAAAAAAAAAAAAAAAGAAAAAAAAAAAAAGGGGGGTAACTTTAAAAGTCTAAAATTTTTAGATGTATCCAGGTATGTAGTTGAGCTAATTTCACTCAGGTTTCCATAATTCCTATTATTAAAGTACCCCATATTCTAATAATAGATCTGTTAAGAAAAGTGAAATGTTGTAAGAATCTGGACATTTACTGTGGATGATCTAGCAATCAAAGCACCTTCTATATATTCTTGCCTTAGTAAATTGCTTTCTCTTATTTTTTATTCTATTTTCCCACTTTGTTAAATATATAAATAAAAGGATCAAATACTAATATTCCATAGCATAGTTTATTGTATTGGAATCATAACCATGACCAAAATTAATCAAACCTACACAAAAAAAAAAAAAAAAAAAAAAAAAAAAAAAAAAAAAAACACACACACACACACGTATTCTATCCTCTTGGATATAGATATCCACAAACTTACCTTTTTTCATCTAAACATTTCGACTGATTGTGGGAGTATGGTTTACTTGAATTTTCAGAAGCTGCAAATTTTACTGAACGTCGTTTAACTTTCTTCACATTTTCTTCATTTTGATAAGTGTCTTGCAAGATTTTGGGAATTTTTACAGTGTTTGGTGTTCCCAAGTTGGTAGATACCAATAATGTTTTTAACTCCTTTTGTAATGGGACTTCCTTCTTGGTATGTTTAGGGGATTTGTAAATAATCTGGTCTGCAACTGGTTTTTCCTTTGGTAAGCTCTTCTTGAAATTGGGATCCAATGTCTTACGTCTTATGAAATTTGAATCTGTTCTGCTAGGAACACATCGAAACTTGGAAGTTGTCACCAATTTGGCAGCTTCATGAATATTTTGCTTATTTTCTTTTGACAATTTGTTCTGTGCATTGGATATCGTTTTCATATTGCTGGTTGCTTTTATGTTCTTTCTGTCAGAATTCAAATCTTTTAAGCCAGTTCTGGACTGAAGATATGGTGCAAGTGACAATCGACTTCTGGTATCCATGTGTGTTTTGTTTTCAAAAGAAGCCAATGTCTGTCTCCTGTAATTAGACAAGCAGGAAATGTATAAACAGTATAGGACATAAAATATGGAGTAAGCATAATACAAATCTAACTTCTATTTCTGAACAGTTGGTCATAATTAAAAGATAAAAACATCTATTGAGGTCAAAATTGTACTTAAGTTCTATTATACATAATAAAAATTAAATACAATAGGATAATAAAATCCACATCTTTTTTTTATCAACAACATTTATAAAAATGTATGTTTATAAAGAAATAGAAATTCGAACTAACTACTTAATCAACTAAGTGTGACTTTGATATTCCATAAAGATTATGATTTTAAATTTAAGAAAAGCCTGATGTTAAATATCACAAGGTCATTTTCAATCATTTCAGATTGTGTATATTAGTTTACTTATGATAGGTTGTATTATTCTAACATATATATATATATATATATATATATATATATATAAAATGACGTTATGCTGCAGTGCCCTAAATTTTTTTTTTAAATTCAGAACAAAAAAAATGTTACACTTTTTTTAATGAGGTGGTCAAGGTGATTTTCTGAGAAAAATTTTGACTTGAGCTCTATGTAGACATATTTTCAAAGAAAAGGGGGTAGATGAAAGCAATTTCAACAAATAGAAGTTTATTCCAATCTTGCAACATTTATGTCCACCAGAAATGAAATAATCGTATGTGTATACACACACGCTTTGCAAATTAAGATATATCCATTACTTGAAATCTTTGAAACAAAAATTTGAAATGAAGATTTCATTCATAAATTGGCTTGTTAAGGAAAGTTGCAAGTTAAGGAAAGTTTTACAAATAGATAACAACTTATTTTGAAGGCCAAGTAAAATGCCAATTTCAAACACTTTTCTGCACTATATAAGACGATATTTCTAAACAGAACTATTTCTTTTATCTGAAAATCAAAACAATCCTCAAATAAAAGAACAGTAATGAAGGAGAGTTAATGAAAGAAATATTTTTTTAAATCAATATGCAAATTAAACCTGAAGAATGATATTGCCTAGAAGTAAAAATATAAAATATAGATATTGAGCTTTTAGTGGGTAACTTACTATAAATAGTTTGTAACAAGTTTATTTATCATCTCTAGGTTGTGTCTGGCTTTGGACAGAGTTTCAAATGAGGAAAATTATACTGAGAGGTACCCAGCTCTGGGGAGCAGCTGCTTGAGACCATATCCTCTCATTGCACCAGAGAGAGATATCAGTGCTCTCACCAAGGCCAGCGCAACTGATGGTTGTGGGAGCACAGGGAATTTTTGTTCCTAGCCCAGGTGTATGCACTTGGGCTCCCCACATTAAATTGACTTTGCATCACAACACGACTTTGTGGAGGGTTGAGTAAATACCAAATTGCTATAAAGTAGAGCCGCGGCTTTTTAATTTCAGAATTTGTGGGAGAATTAAGCTCCAATTTCATATAGATTCCATAATATAGGTTTTACTTAATTAGCTATTATGTTTCTCTAACTTTTCAAATGTTGAATGTATAACCAATTCTAATTTCTATGGAAAATAAGGATCTACATAAATCAAGTCATCTTTAAATTAAGTGGCAGCAGATGAATTATTGTTGAACTTTTAAAAGGTAAACTTAAACATTAATTCAATACTTATATGCAGCGAACAATTTTGAGTTCTTCTGTAGCTTATTGATGCCTCTCGCATCTACACCTTCCTAGTTATTGTGATGATGGCCAAACAAAGAGTCCGCATGGGAGCTAGCTTACATGCAGCCTGATAGGGTGGCTTTTAAGCTAGTTTATAGTAAAATGTGCATTGCAAGTTTGGATAAAAAAAAAAAAAAAAAAAAGTCACTCCCCTTGAACCATGAAAGCAACGTTAATGGCTAGTATAATGTATTAATATATATTTTTAACCTTGCATAATCAGGCAACCCTGAATCTGAGCTCAATGAAAATCATTCCCTGTGCTTAACTTTTCTAGGGCATTTGAATGAGCTATGAATTACTAAAATTTGACTAGTCGGAGTGGAGGAGTTGCTTGGACATGCACAAACACACACACATATACACTGTACTTTATATATAAGATTACATAGTAATAATACGTTTCATTTTAAAACAGCAATACTTAAATAGACAGGTCCCTTCAAACAAGTAAAGAAAATTCCATGTATGTCAAAAAGTCAGGGATCAGTTTGATGTATTTATACTGCAAACAGACCACCCCAATCTAAAATAATAGAAAAGAAATGTTTGTCACTTCTGACAAATTTCCTGAGTAGATAGAGGAAGTTCAGAATGCTAGGTAACAAAAATTAGTTGTTAAAATATTTTTATTGATAAAAAATTACTAATTAATATTCATGTCGGAAAGTAAAGGATCATTTTGATATTTTCTGTACACATTTTTTTTTTGTTTCAATAACCATTTTGATCTTATGCTAAAAAAGCTTTATATTTTTACATAGTAATACAACAATTTCATTCTTTCCACAACATATTCTAAGTTAATAATTTTGTAATGTTTGATTTTTTTTTTTTTTTTGGACAATGTTCCACTGCAATGTATCATTGCTAATCTATGTCATCTGTCAATAAAAATATTTGATTTTAAAGCTTTTTGTTTATTTTCATCAATTTCCCTTTAAAGATTTTGTGTTAATATTACTTTTTACAAATAAAAAACAAATTTTGCAAATTCTAAAAAAAAAAAAAAAATTGTTGCAGTGCCCTTAATCACTGCTGTGGTGCCCTCATTTTTAAGGATTTTTTTGCCTGCCCATATCTTAGGCTAAACTCATCCACACACGGGTAGGTCGATTTTGGAAATGCAAAAAAAACTTGAGGAAAGTTGCAAAATAATGTCAAAAATTACCATAAAAAATATTTTTCTTCAAAACTTCATATTTATTTGAGGAAACAAACTTAAAAGACAAACTAAATTACGATTTTTATCATTATATTGGTGTCACCAGAAACATGTGTAAGTTAAATTAAAACAGAGTCTTAATGAAAAGAAAAGACTAATAAATTAAATGAAATTACCAAAAATAAAAAAAAATAAAACACACTAAAATATTTAGTTTAAAATATAAATAACTATTTACAAACGCCGTTTTATTTACTGGATATTTCTTTGGTATTTACTGGTAGTAATTACCTCCTCTTGTAAGTTTGTTTTATTTTTGTTTACACTTTTAACTAGTACAAATATCTATTGTATTTTTTATCAAAATATACTTAACTATTTAAAAAAATCCAACTTTTATAATTATTGTAATTTGTTTATATTTTCAAAGTTAGTGTGTTTTATTAAAAAGCCTGTTTACAAGCTAATCTCAGAACTCTACTTTTAGGTAAGTAAACATTACTTTTAATTTAATAATGTATTTTGAACTTTATTTTCAAATTTATTTTGAAAAATATTTTTGTGTAATTTCTGATAATACATATATTTTCTTTTTCAGATATTTTAATAAAAATGGTCGGAAAAAGCATCCCAAAGGGCCTTATAGCCTTATCAAAATTCCACGGTATGCTATTGATCAGGGGTGATGTATCTTCCAATCTTGGAGACAGCCTTGCCAATGCCTTGCTCTTGGATTTGAGGGCTATGGGCCTTCTTATCCCCAATAAAACAAATAGGCTAAAGTGAAAACAAATACCCATCAAAAGCATGATGAAAAGTTGGAAAATCTTCTTTGTATTGGAGTTGATGGGAGAACTGTCAAAGACACACTAATGTACAAGGAAATAGTGGAGGAAAATGGAGAGAAAACTCTGGAAAAAAAAAACAAAACACAAGGAACCAGAATGCCACTTGATGGTCACAACTGAGATGACATATGAAAGTGAATATCTGACACATAGGGTTCTTCCTAATATTGGTGCAACTGGTGCTGTTCTTGCTGAACAAATGTGATGTTTTGCATGAATTCAATAGTGTGAACACTATCAAGGCTATCCTTGTTGACAACACTAATGCCAATACAGAATGTGAATATGGATTTGTTGCACTTCTAGAAAGAAAACTTAACAGAAATCCTCACACAACTGGTTGCTCCTTGCACCAAAATAAACTTTTTAAACATCTACATGGTACCACAAAAAGCCCTAACACATTCAATGGTCCACTGGGTAAATTATGTGCAAATGATTACCATAATTTACCCCAAATATCATTTTCAGCTGTTGGCAGTCCTCTGGATTCTATTTTTAAAATGGAAAATGCAGATACCTTTAGTTGTGACCAAAGACTCCTTTATGAATATACAGCGGGTATTTCTAGAGGTAAGGTGGACTCTAGATTTGCATCATAGAAAATTGGTCCATTAAACTAGGCAAGGTGGTTAACTTTAACCATCAGGCTGATGTGTTTATGGACTCGTGATGCATACCCACAAAATCTTCCAACCAAACTCCAGTTCAATAAATTTTATTGTGAATGTGTTTGACATTTGCTGGTTTGAAAAAGAAATAAGTTCCACAATCAGCAAATGTAGATTTTCAATATGATCCAAAGGATTAGAAAGCAACCAAATGAAATCCAACAGATCACATTGAAAAATATACAATACAATGTTTTTGCCTTGCTGTCTGAAAATATCTTATATTCAATGGTCAAATCTGATGAACTGGAAATGAGGGCAGAAGCTATAAAAAGAATTTTGTCCATTAGGTAAGTAAATATTTATTCATATAAAACTGACTAAATTAGTTATGCCAATTTATAGAATCATTTTTAAGGATTTTATCTAATTTCACCATAAATATTAAAGCAGTACAGAGTGCATTTTTTTTTTTTTTTTTTTTAACTAACTCAAATTAATTTTTATATTCTTTCAGGAGTGGGGAGCCAGCCAAGAAAAGATTAAAAAGAATGACAACTATAAATTTTAAAGCTATACATTGGACACAATAGATCTGTCATTAAGTGGAGTTTGTGAACCACCAATCACAGAAGAAATTTCTGAAAATGAACTTCGGGAATCATTATTAAAGGGTATGAAGCTTGACTTGCCA